AAGTGCACTAACTATGATAAATGTATATTTGAATTTAAACGACTTCGTAGTATTCATGAATAAATCAAAATTGCATGAGTTTAAAAAAATGGCCTTTGTTGGGGTCAGGTCCCACCAAATTATCTGTAGAATCAGGCTGTTTATTATTTTAAGAAATGCCAGATGTATTTGAATAACTACATGTCAGGAGGTCATATTTGGAGCAGTGGTAGTTCAGTGGTTAAAAGTCTAAGTTGGGGATCAAAAGGTTGTGAATTCAAATCCCTGGACTTTAAGAGACACTGTTGGCACCTTCAGCAAGACCTTTAATGCTCAGCTGTTATGCTGTATGTTTGGATTGTATCCTGTCTAAGTCACTTTGGATAAAAGTGTCTGCCAAATGGATAAAAAAGTAAATGGACGTTTTTCTTTGACACATTAAGTTTCTGTGCTGTTATCATCAGGCAAGGGTTAGAGGTCCTGTCATGAGGTATCCAGGTTCAGACCTGCTAACACATCTACGATGGCTGCCAAAATGAGGAAGTCTGGAAAAATGAGATATTACTAATAGAAAAAAAAATGTATAGCTGCTTAATCCTTGTGGCAGCATGTTTACACAGTGGGTAGTGTTAATACCTCATAGCTCCAGGGTCGACAGTTTGAACTTGGGTGTGCGTGGAGTTTTCACTGTGCAGTTTTTTTTTTGTTTGTTTTTTTCAGTTTCCAGGTTTGTATATCCAGGTTTTCTCAAACAAAAAAAGTCTGTAGGTGGTTTGGCCATGCTAAACTGTGAATGAGTGTATGTGCATGGTGTCCTGTGATGGTCTGGTGTCCTATCCAGGATGTATTCCCAGCATACCACCAGTATTCCTGGGATTGGCTCCAGATCCTCTGTGAACCTGGCCAGGATAAAGCGATTACTGAATACGGATGCTTAACCTTTTATTCACCCATAAACACACCATAACCCACAAATACAAAATACAATGGGGGAGATAAGTAGTGGATGCGTCAAAAAAATTTTTAGTAAATATATTTCCAATGATGCTATTCACATGAGAATTTCACCAGACATCAGCATTAACTCAGGAAATCCAGACATATAAAAATTCACAATATTAAAGTCCATAAATGTAGTTATGTATAATAAAGTGGAATGACACAAGAAAAAATGATTGAACACGCTAAGTGAAATGTATTTAATACTTAGTGGAGATGCCTTTATTTTATTTGCTTCCTGTATGAAGAAAATAATCGGCTGCAGTATCCGGGAGTGATTTTGGTTCATTCTTCTAAAGTGATCTGACCTCCACTTGCGGATAATGGCCCGTTTTCAGAAGTTCTGAAATACGTCTGTATCCGATTCCATCGATATGTTTTGCAAAAATAAGGTGGGAGAGCTCTTTGCTTTTACCCATCATGAGATGTTTCTTGTGTGACACCTTGGAATTGAAAAGCTTTTTTATAGACCATCAATTTACTAACCCAGCTGATATTAATTTGCAGAGATAGGGGGTACAATTACTTACATATTTCAGCTGGTTTCTTGCCTTGCCTTGCCTTGCCTTACCTTGCCTTGCCTTGGAGAACTATTTTGTCTTAGCGTGTTCAATACTTTTTCCTGTGTCGCTCCACTTGATCACACATAACTTTATTTATGGACTGTAATGTTGTGAATTCTTTATAATTCCAGATTTCTTGAGTTAATACTGATGTCTGGTGAAAATTTCATGTGAATATCCTCATTGGAAATATATTTGCTGAAAAAAACGTTGACGCATCCAATACTTATTTCCCCCACTGAATGTGATATTTAGATGCAATGTCTGTAATGTTTTGCTCATTTGTTCATCAAAAATTCCACGTATATTTTTTTAAATGATTTTAATGCAGTGCCATCTGAGAGCTCGAACATCACGAGTACGCAATATTGATTTTCACCCTTGTTTCTTGCACACAGATATTTCTCCAGATTCTCTGAATCTTTTGATGATATTATGTACTGTAGATGATGAGATATTCATAGTCTTGGCAATTTTACATTGAGGAACATTATTCAGAAATTGTTCCACAAATTGTAGACACTTTTTTTTTTTTTTTTTTTTCAGATTGCTGAATCTCTGCCCATTTTTACTTCTCAAAGACTTTCCCTCTCTAAGATACTCTTTTTTTTTATCCCCAATCATGTTACTGAGCTGTTCCCAGTTAACCTCCAGCTGTTTCTTTTTAGTAACACTGACCTTTCCAGCCCGTCCCAACTATTTTTGAGACGTGTTGTGGCCATTTTCTTTTTCTTAAAATGATACATTTACTCAGTTTAAAACGTTTAAGCTACTATTATTATCCAAATGACTGTGGCTTGCAAAACAGACCTAATAATGGTTATTGCTTTGATGGTGCAGTTTGGATGGATGGTTGTGCTCTTGTCAATTTAGTCATTTCAGAAACCTGGGAAAAGTGCCTCAATTAGGCAACACTTAATTCCTTATTGTAGCCAAACTTATTGCGTTTCACACAACATACTTTTCAACTCAACTCATTTCAGTTTTATAGCACTGTTAACAATAGACATTGGCGTAAAGTAGCTTTATAGAAATCAGGATGTAGTTTCAGATCCCTAAGGCGACAGTGGCAAGGGAAAACTCCTTGAGACATCATGAGGAAGAAACCTTGAGAGGAACCAGAAGTAAGCAGACGTAGAGTATCAGGAGGTATCAGGAAGATCCAGAGCCACAGCAGTAGTATATAATCGGGTCAGCATACATGTACTCTTATCTTTTAATTTTTTCCTGTATGTACACCACTGGCCATAGCGTGTAAAAGGAAACCTGGGTTAAATCACAGTGCATCCATATTCATTGTCTCAGCAGTTAATTGTATTCATTTTAGTCGTTCATTATATCAATCTATTTGGACTTCTGATAACGCAGTAACGTAACACATTACATTTTAAATTGATGTAATTTGATTACAGTTACTGATGTCAATACAATTACATTACTTGCGTAACAAATGTATTATTAAGACAACAATATTACGTGTTTAAAGTAAATCATGTTTTTGCGCAGCTGCCAGGGGCGTAACCTGGCCTGGGCCTGGGAAGATTTTTTCTTTAGCCCCGATATAATTCTCTACTTGGAACGGTTTGTCACTACGTAACTGAACATCAGTAAAAGTAGACCACCTGCAATTTTATATCTTCAGTGAACAGAGGCGAGACCAATCAGACAGGGTTTACAGGAAAATAGGTGGAAATACCCATGTCTTATTGGCTGACCGCTCTCAAATCTGCCAAACTCTAGCTTACCGTCAATTTGAGGAAAAATGGATATACAGCAATTTAAAATGTTTGAAACCAGTAAAGGGGTTGAAACTGAAACAGTAACATCCTCTGATGCTGAGCAGGAAAACAAGGTACGTATATATCTATATGAGTTCCAGTTTACGTATACATGATATGAGCAGAGCATGAGGAAGGATAATGGACCTGTAACAGCTAAACCCATACAATGATAGCTTAGTGGTGCCTCCTCCTCCTTCTAATCTCATTTTAAAACAGTGTGAATAATCTTATACATGATTTATAATATCATCATAAATAATATTAGATAAATTTGCCCATATTCAAGATATTTTCGCTGATATTCATGTGAGCACAGAGAAAGTGGTAATATAGAATAATTATATGTGGCAGTATGATTAAGATTCTGTACAAGAGGCTAGAAGGTTGTGAGTTCAACTCCCAGAACCACTATTGGGCCCTTAAGCAATATTAAATTAGCAACACCCTTCACACTTAGCTGCTTAGCTCTGCCTCATTTTTGAGTAACTTCAGTTGAAATCATCTTCCAAATGAATAACCGCAGCTGCATATCTATGGTGCTGAACATAAAAAGAACAAGGCCAGTATCAGGAACACAAGAACTAGAAATTTAAAAACAGCAAAAACCTGGTTCAGATTTTTAAGACAAGACACATCTATTACAAACATGTTATACAAGGAGATGTTAGTATGAACGGATTGAAAAACCACACAGCACAGATACGAATAATGATCAAGGGGTCTGACCAGAGCAGTAATGTATCAGTCAGTACCTCAGCAAGGTTCAGTTACTGTTGTTCCTGTTGTTGTTGTTGTTGTTGTTGTTAAGCAGCAGGAGTTCCGAGTGTATACTATACCAGGTTGCCATCCTGAGAGATGAAACCTCTAGCACAAATCTATCCAAACACTATAAATTCAAAAAACACACACACACACACACACAAACACAAACACACAAACAATCCCCTGCTGTTCTGTCAGGTGTCAAAATCACTTCAAAAACACCTAGCGACTCTAAAAAAGAAGCTGAAATAAAAATGATAGTTCAGTCACTCCAGCTCTGCTGGTGAAGACGTGAACACAGTGTTTCGGTACACACTGGTCAAATCACATTTATAGTCAGTATTTGCAGGAACTCACCTGAAGCTATCTAACTTCAGAGATGAGCTGCTGTAGGTATGATAGAGGTGTCAGACTCTGACGTTTTCCCTGTCATCTTCAGCTAGTATAAAGAACCTGACAGGAAGTCACAGCACACTGAGTCAACAGCTTTATGAAAGGAAAAAAAAAAAAAAAAAACCTGAGTGACTCTGCCAGATTATGATAGCTTGATGACAGTAGCATAATCCGCTGTATCCAACTTTAGCACAGTGTAGAAAATACACTTTAGTCCAGTCTGGATTCAACCAGACCAGTGTTTTTCCAGTGCAAATCTAGCTCAGGTTAAAAAGTACTTTCATGTCACTTTCAGATTATAAACACACCAAATCTACTTAATCTCTAAAATCCAGCTCAGTCAAGTCACTTCTGTACATGTCTCAGGCCAGTCTAGCCAAATATCTTCTAGATGAAACCAGTCCACATGAAACTAGTTAAGCACCATAAATATAGTCCATTTTAGACCTGTCTATACAAAGACCAGCCAAACCAGTTCTTTCCACACTGCAAAGTATGTCATAGGCCAACCCTGCGGACAAGAGGCAGCGGTAGCTTAATGGTTAAGATGGTGGACTACTGATTGGAAGGTCATGAGTTCAAATCCCAGCACTGCCAGGCTGCCATTACTGGGCCCTTGTGCAAGGCGCCTTCCTTAACCCTCAACTGCTCAGTTGTATAAACGCAATACAGTCCAGATGAGACCACTTTGGTCTAATGTCTACTCTAGCTCTGGGAAGAAAGTGTAGCATAATAAATGTGATCCATTCTAGACCATTTCAGATTATAAATACAGGCCTCACAAAACAGTACCCTAGGTCAGGTTAGAAAGTCTTAGGAAAGATACTAATGATTAGACCCTTTCAGATTATAACCAGTCCAGATTTGTCCATAAAATCCAGCTCAGTCCAGTCAGTCGACTTATTGTGGCAAAGAATACCAGTACCAAAAGCAATCCCAATACAGTCCAGATGAAACCAGTGAAATCATAGCATGAAATCTAGTGAAAAGTATGGTCCTGTCTATGCCATTCGTGTCTATCCCTGTTGATTTCATTCCAGATTAAGATAAGCCAATCTAGTCAAGTACAAGGATTTATCCAGTCCTCTGTAGTCCTATTAGTGTTCAAGTCCAGGGGAACAAGCACAGTCCAGTTTAACCCAATTGATCGCAGCCCATTTTGGATGTCAGACAGCATTGCAGCTTGCTCCAGCTGAAGCCAGTTATGTCTAGGCAGTCTAGTTCAACCCACACCAGATGAAACCAATCCAACACAATCTATTTTAGTCTATTTAAGTCCAACTCAGTCCAGCCAGTCCAATTTGGCTCAGTTCAGTCGAGTCCAGATGAAAGCTCTTGGGGTCTCCAGAACATGTTGTGTTGTTTTTAATACCTCAAATCACACCTCAAATGTCAGAGCTGTAATGGAGTTACGAGTAGACTCTGACCTGTATGCAACCAGAGACATATACTGCAGCCCAGACTTCCTTTAATCTCTCTGCCTTTCTGCTGCTGTCTCTCGCACACAAATCCCTAAATTAGTCTGGAAGTGTTGGTCTTCCCTTTACTATTTGGATCTGGATTGACAGTGATTGTTAGCAGACATTGACGTACCTCCATCAATAATTCCTCTTTGTTCCACTCATCTCTTGATCTGATTGTTCTTTGTCAGTGTATCCTTTTATTATTCTAGGCAGATGGAGTGATTGATACCCTCCCTCTCACTCTACCTAGCCCACCCAGGAAGAGATGAGCAGGGGATCAAACGCAAAAAAGTGTTCAAGGTGTTTAGTATTCCTTACTTCCCTGGTGTGTGTGTGTGTGTGTGTGTGTGTGTGTGTGTGTTTAGGGCAATGTGCAAGTGAGTGCGTTTGTGTGTCTCATGTGAGACGGATTACGTGTGCAGAAATCCAGTCGCTCAGAATCTCCCGCACGTCATACTGAGCTGCAAAATGCTTTATGTGGGAGGCTGATTCAGGTCAGAGAGAATCAGTGCAGATTTGTATAGCTGTTCTCACAATTCCCCAACTGACACAAAGCCTTCACTGACTGAATTCCCTTAGGCTGACACACACAGACGGCAGCTGGCCCTCTGGCACAGACTTCCTGGCACTCCATCTCATCCTAATTAATCTCCCAACACGCGCGCACACACACACACACACACACACACACACACACACAAAACTCCTGCAGATTCCGTCTGTTTGAGCGCGAGAAGACGATTGCCTCCAGTTGCATCCTTGGGTTCTATCATTCCTTACGCATAGTGTGTTCTAATTGGCTGCAAGGAAAACAAGAACAACAAAAAACACAAAGTATGTGAGAGTATGTGGTTTTACATATTAAGACACTACAACATTCAACCATGTCTTAGGACAGAGGTTACTAGATGGTTAATGGTCTGTGCTAGAAGGTTGTGAGCTCTAATCTCAGCACTTACAGAGAACCAGGGGTTGACTTTTGAGCAAAAGGCTTAACACTACATTAAAATTTGTATTTACATACAGGGTCCTATATGTAGGTGGTGGTTTGAATTCTTACAAATCCACAGCCATCAATGACTGGGAGTCCAAATTTGTTCTTCTCTCAGGGTGGGATACTTCCCTATCAATCACATGCATGTGGAAGAGGGCAGATAGCTCTTTTCTCTGAGTTATGCTGCACCGTGGTGCACAATGAGCAGTAGTTTGAAAATGTGATATGTGATTGGTTGGCTTCACATGTCTTAAAGGAAGCACGTGATATCCTTCACCCTCCTTAATTGGTAGGTGTTCTGCGATAGGAGAGACCTGAAGGCTAGGTTGGACTTGGTAAAGACTATATTATGTACAAAAGCTGAGAAATGTATTACATTTATTCAATTGGCAGTCATTTCTATCCAAAATAAAGTGATAGGACACAATTCAAGCATACAGTCTTAAAAAAGAAGGTCAAATCCATAATCCTAAAGGATTCTTCTGTTTTTCTACGGTGGATCTGGAGCCTGGACAGTATACCAGTCCACTTACAGGGCATCGCATGGATTCTCATTTGTACTCTGATGGACTTTTGAGAATATCCAATTCACTTACTGTTGGTGGGTTCCCAGAGGCAAACCATGCAGAGTACATGCTAAACGTGGGAGTGAACCCCCGACCAAGGAGCTGTGAGACACCAAAATTGGTTCGCTAATAACTGTACCATCTAATAGTCATTCATTCGTCTTCAGTAACTAATGTATCCTGATCAGGGTTGTGGTAGATCCAGAACCTATTCTGGATGAGAGGTGGGAATATACCTAGGGGCGATGTTGGGTAGTTAGTACACCTGTTGCCACCTGTTCAGATTCAGTTCATTTATGCTCCAGAAGGCACATAAAATTTTGAATGACCCAAACCACCCACATTATCAATATTTCAACCCCCTTCCTTCTGGCCACAGGTATAGGCTACCCACGTGTAGAAAGGCTAGTTTTGGTAGGAGTTTTGTTCCTATGGCTATACGAGCATTAAACACATAGGTACTCAGCCATTGTGATGTCAGATGCATTGTTGTATGATGATCCTGATGTTTTTCTCCTTGTCCCCTTTCCCCCTCTATGCCTGTGATTGTTTATGTTGGTCTATATAAATGTATGACGTTGTTATGTTTTTGTACGCACCCACTCATATTAAGATCATCATGTGATACCGTTTGAATGAAGGCTGCACCGTAACAAAAACAACTGATTAAACGAAGTAAATGGTGTGTGAACAGAGCATTCAGATAGGCTTGTCTCAGCCAGCTCCTTTTCACACCTCAGACGTGAGGCATCTGTCTGATTGCATGATGGGAATACATGTTTTTTTTTTTATATATATATATATTTTTCCCTGGGCTCCATTATACTGTACGTGTCTGTGTAAGCACGTGTAATCCGAAGGTGTCGCTGTTGCTCCATTTTAACAGGCCTCGTTGTGTGGTGAATAATGAGTGTTTAAAGGCATCAGTTGGTGCTTTCTATGCCATTCGGCTCAGACGCCCAACTCTCTAATTAGAAGCTTGAGCGAGTGCCAGAGCACATGTGTTCAGTACTGTGTGTGTGTGTGTGCTTGTGTATGTGTGTGTTGGCACTTATCTAGACGCAACCTTTTAAAGTATTTATTAAAAAGATACGCCTGGCTTCTGTGGTGACTGCTTCCCTGGCAACAAGCCATGACGACCGAAGCACTGTGTGACGCACCTTGGCGTTTCTTGAAGACATAAATGAATTCCATTTGAAGGTGATTTGATATTTCAAGTCACTTTGAATGGATTAAACTCAAAATGTCAACTCAGAGGGAGCGGCAGTGTGGGGATGCACTTTCAAGCACCGGTAGAAGCTATTCTGTGGTCAAAGTTCAGAACTTGCAAACACCTCCTGCTGGAGATCGAGGCTGTGTCCCAAATGCTGGGGTTTGATAGACGGTGTACAAAGGACTGCATCAGAGAGAAGAGTCTCTAGAAAGGAGAATGCCTTACGCGTTAACTTTTATAGCCTGCTAGCTAATTGGCCAACCAGAGGTTAGTGTACAGTATGAGCTCTTAAAGTGCTAAGCACATATCCAGACAAGCTGTGTTACCTTTATATCCTTACACATTCATCTGAACGTTCTGAATCGAAACCGACTCTCCAATCATGTTGCATTATGGGGAAAGTATATCTGTTAGCCACTGGAAATGGCGTGATATAAATGCTCAAAGATAAGATAACCAACATTGGGAAGGCTTGTTACTGTAGACTGGCTCTGTGTTTTCTTGCGCTTGGGTTGGAACATTAAAAACGGCTGACTTTCTAATGAGAACACTAACTAGAGATGAAGTTTTTCATTTGTGACAAAGGCCCAAAAGCTCTTTGGTTCCAGTAGAGTGCAAACGTGAGAACAGCAGTGTAACACTAATTCTGCCCCTTAAGCAATTAAAAAAAGAAGGATGAGCTGATGCCAGATGAGATGAGTGTGTATTTGTGTGTGTGTATGTGTGTGTTTTTGTGTGTGTGTGTGTGTGTGTGTGCATCAGAAAATCCAGAATGAGCAGCCAGGCAATTTGAATAATTACAGATTGATGACCTTTTATAGATTTTGTAGATCTGCCTTCTCATGTGTGTGTCTGTATATGCATGGGCTGGGCGGATTTAAGTGTGTGTATGTGTGTGTGTGTGTGTGTGTGTGTGCTAAAACGTTTTGGCTGAAGCTGTGCCTGCTGAAGCGTGTCGAATGGGAAAGTTACAGGACGTTAATGCGCTGGCTGCTGTTCTCTCTCGCTCATTCATATTTCATTCGCTCCATCATAACTGCTCGACTTATTGTTATTATTTCCTCCCAAACTCATTGTTTATAGATCAACCCTGCTCGGCGGGGTCCACATTTCCTAAAAGCTTGTGTGTGTTTGTAATCGAAACAACACTAAACTGATTTATGCTTCTCGTGGGACTCCTGTTGGAACATAAGCGTTCTCTTGCTCTTTTCCATCTCCGACGAGACGCCTTAGCCAATTTGCCCACTTTGGGATAAATTGAACAACTTTCGCTTTATTGGATTGAGGAGAAGGAGGTAGGGAGGGAAAAAAAATGAAATCTGTTTGCTGACAACCTCACCGGCGATTTTTTGCAGAGGCTG